GGCAGCGAATCAGAGGTCCGTGCCAATCTCAAGGTAGTTCTGATTGAGCTGGGCAATGTGGTGGATGCAGACAGAATAGTTGCTACTTTCCGAATTGTCCATACAGTCTTTTTTTTTTTTTTTTTTTTTTAAAGTTCAATATTTGTTCAGCTGGAAGTTGGAACATAAAGTGCTGGTGGAATGAATGGTGATTCTTGAGTTTTCCTTTTAGAAGTGGTTGACTAGTTTTAGTAAGCCATAATATTTTCCAAGATCTAGGGTGCAGTCTAGTGGGTGAAGCTGATCTCTTGAATCTTTGATTTCAGAGGATGAGCCTAAAGTAACTGTTGCTAATAATGTGAAGACCTGATGAAAGAACTCTTGTGGTTTCTTGATATTCTTTTGTTCTTCCTCTTGATAGGTTCTTTTTTTTTTTCTTCATGCCCCAGTGGGAGTGACTGAGAATTTGTTTTTGGGGGGAGAAGTGAAATTTGGAAAGGGGTGGGAAAGGGAAGTTATAGCTGTGCACCAAGTTGATACTTGTATTTTATAATAGTATGGAGATGCTGCAGCTTGTTTTCCTCAGTTACCTTTTTCTAGGTGTATTTTTCCTCTGTTCAGTATACCGGTACCTTCTAATTTTCAATTCAAGTGAGATGGACTGGCTGAGTGACTCAAACAAATGACACTTTCTCATCTCTTTTGCTCTGGAGACCAGATAGCCTTAAAGGGGAAGACAGAGTATGGAGGAGGTTGAGCTGCAGCATCTTAGGCTCATCATTTAAATATGAGCACTCTAAGAATAATTTTGGGTAGATGATGTTGTGTGTCCCAAGATTTGGTAATTTCCTTGCAGGAAAATTTGGCTCTTTTTTCCTTGGTGATTCTGGGGTGAAAAGCAACAGAGTGAGCAGTTTCATAAGTAGCTTCCTCCCTCACTCAACCTACCAAATTTGCATAGTGAGCTGAGGTCTAGTGAGGAAGTTTTCAAAATGGGGAAGTGGGGAAGTAGGCTGATAGTTAAATATTGAAGAAACCAGTATCTACTCTTCCTTAGCCAGAGGGAACATAATCTTTTGGCTTTCTGCTCTAGTGAACTTTAAACTCTCCTGAGGTAAAATGATGGTAGGAAGGGAATGAACCACCTGTTATTCTACTTGTTTTTTCATCCCATGCTGGGAATTGAATCCAAGGCCTCCTGTGTGCTAGGCAAGCTCTTTACCACTAAGCTTGATTCGCAGCCCTGTTATTCTCTTAAGGGCATTCTGGAATGTGGGTTTTGCGGGTTCCTCCCTCTAGAGCTGGAAGCTCAGCACTCCCTGATGATATCTCAGGCTGTTGGTGGGACTGTCAATTATTTTTTTAGTTACTTTGTATGAATACCCAGCAGCCCATGTTGTGAAGCTGGATGAGATCAAAGCTGAGACACTGGAGTTGTTCTGAAAAGATGGGTCTTTTCTGGTCTCAAACTGGAGATAGACCTTTTTAAATGTAGCACCTTCTCAAATCCACTTTTAGTTTTGAGTTTCCTTTGTATTTCTGGCAATATAAAATTTAAATGCAGGTCTTCTGATTTGTGGTGGTAAGAATGTTACATATGTAACACTGTAACATTTTCCTCCTTTCCACAGGGGGTCTTTTTGATTTTTCTTGAACTCTGAACTCATGAGCTCAAGTGATCTTCCTGCCTCAGCCTCCCAAATGGCTGGGGCTAGGAGAATGAACTCTACACTGAGCTACAGTCGTAGCCCTCACCTTATCTTTTTAAAATAGCCCCCCTCACCTTTTTTGTCCTGGCCTGAAATTTTAGGAATTTTGTTGAGGGGAGTGAGTGAGCTTTTGAACAGCTCTTTTGATTCTGGCTTTAATCCCCAATTCCTAGTCTCTGGAGAGGGTTAGAATGTTTTTGTGGGGTCTGGTGGGTAGCACCTTCCTTTGGTTTAGATTTGCTTTCCTGCTGCTTACCATTCTCTGCCCCCATACCAGAGCACACTCATAGGGGAGAAGCAAATAGCCCTTTGCTCTGAGTGCCTCCATTTAGGCTCCACCTTTGTTTACTTTGGGACCAGCAAACAGTTCTATTCCCTTGCTCCCAACATGCCTCCCTCCCGCTTGATAAATTTAAATTCCCCCAAGGACATGATATCTAGCTCCCTGGTAGATCTTTTTGTGAACACAATGAGTTCCAGCAGTCCCTTACAGGCACAGGGCTCAAGCTTAACTTTCCTAGTACTCTCTTTTCCTTTTAATTCCATCTGTGGCTTTTATCTAAAAAGAGAAACTCCAGTGTGGCAGAGTGCCAGATTTAGGCAAATCCCCTTCTGTCCTTGGCCTTGTTCTGCCTCTGAGAACCAGTGCGCTGTCAGTTTCTTGCCTTTAGGAATGTGATTTACTTTGGGACTTTCTCTGGAGTGGAGGATGGTAGCATTTAAACCAAACTTTTGGCATAGCTGGAGCTGCTGTCAGCCATCTTCTAATGTGACCAAATTCCTGTTGGCTTCCACTTCCACCACCACCCCTGAGATCTTTGCCTCCTGGGCCCTGAAGCATCCTTTTATTACTTGAAGGGAAGGACCTCAGACTATTATCTTCCAGGCTGGGCCAGAGGGGGGTAGACTGAAAGGCCAAGACCATATCTGGGTGAGCATGCTAAAACCTAGGCTTACTAGAAACACACAAAATTTAATGTTTCCCAGGGCCAGTGTGGTTTGCAAAAGGTAGTACTTTCTTTTTTGTTGACCTGAAAGGGAGAGGCCTTGTGCATAGGCTCTGGCTTGAAGGGAAAGAAAGTCAGGTTGTCTTCCTTATTTCTTTAAAAAGAGTATCAGATCTCAATTCTGCTGATTCTCTATGGGAGAAGGGGGAAAAACAGTGATGACCTGGAGCCCCAACCTTTGGGATCTCTGAAGACTTCATAGGGACTCCCATCTTGGGTTCTGCTTTTGATAGTCTTGTGTGCGCATGCTCTTGTAAGGGAACCAAGAGGCGTTTTCTCCTCCCTTTTCAGCCTTATGAAGAATTCTATTGTAAATGCTGATTTGTGGGAGAAACTGCCTGAGCCAGCTTGTTGTCATGGAAACTACAACCCTGCCCCCATAGCTTGTTATCTTCTACTCCAATTTGGGTAACTACTGATCTGGGGACTTGCATTTTATGAGCTTCCTCCCAAGTCTAGTTCCATATTTTGTGTTTTCATTTTAGGTGTCTGAAAGGGGGTAAATAATTGTATTGTACTGCAGTATCTCTCAGTTCCTGCCTGATAGCCTGTATCTTGACTGATTGGCCTTGTTGGTCTGGGAAGAGAAATCTGTATTGTCCTAGGGGACATATGTTTTCCTGGAAGAGACAGAACCAGAGAATACTTGTCTTTGTGGTGTCTTGAATAGTATGGTTAGAGACACAAATGGTTTCTTAGTTCTTTCAGCTTATGTAGACTTGTCAATTTTTTTCCCTGTAGTCTGGTGGTTAGATTTTTGCCCCAACTCCCTGCCCCCCTTCCCTGGCCCTTGAACCTCCTATGTTTGTATGTGGAAATTTTCGTACCAGTCCTGGTTGTTACCAGGAGTCTTTTGGGCTATATCCTTCCCCATAGGACTGGTGGCCCAGATTTCTAAGCTGCTGCCACCCTGCCTACTAGGAGGAAATCAGGGTAATAGAATTCAGGCAGTCTGAGCTGTGGAGGAGAGATCATGTTTACCAGGCACTTGGATAAGCATCTGAACTGGGTGGTTTGCAGGGCAGATTAAATTCTTGCATACTTAAAGCAATCACAGGAAGGAGACTTTTTCTACCTTTAGAATCTGTCCACAGTGCAGGCAGCCTCCCTCCTTCCTTGTTTCTCATTCCATAGCCAGACCTTTTTTTTTTTAATATTTATTTTTTAGTTGTAGTTGGACACAATACCTTTATTTTTATTTTTATGTGGTGCTAAGGATCGAACCCCAGGGCCTTGCACATGCTAGGTGAGTGCTCTATCACTGAGCCACAACCCCAGCTCCCCATAGCCAGACCTTACATTTACTCACTCAAGCTTGGAAGTCAGTTACAGGGTTGATATAAACTGTATTGGAAAATGAAGGTAAGGGGATGACTAAAGAAATCGAAAGGATTCAGGAATTTGGAGGCAGGAGTGGTGGAATGTTTACTTGTGGGTTTTTGTTGTTATTGTTTCGTTTTTTGGTAATGTCACCAAAGCAGATACTTTTAACCAGAAACAGCTCTTCCTTGGCAACTCAAGGGGTTGAGGAGGCACGTTGAAGGCATGGAGGAAGGTATCCCAGTGTTCCATTCTTTTGCTTTCCACTGGAAGGCTAGCCTGGTGAACATTCTCTTGCTTGTTTACTTCCTGGTATTTTAGGRTAAGGAAATCAGAGGGTTAACAACTCAAGTTAAGCAATAAATTAATGGATAATCCAAAGTTTTCTCTTTAAGAGCCTTGCTCATTTTCTATTTTATGAGACATTTACAAGAAAGTTGCTGAGTGAGACGTACCTCCCAGTCAGAATTCAGGTAGAAAGAACCTTTTCGGGCTACCTTTTCTCACCCCAACGTGTTAGGAATTTGAACTAAGTCCAAGAGGAGATGGGGTACTGTCACTGATCTGGGCAAGGAACTGAGGGTTTTTTGTTTTTTTAAATTTTATTTTGAGACAGGGTCTTGTTAAGTTACTGAAGGTCTTAATAAATTACCCATATGGGCCTTGAACTTATGATACTCCTGCATTAGTCTCCCAAGTTGCTGGGATTATAGGCACGCACCCCCATGCCTGGCAAGGAACTGAGGTTTTTAAACACTCCTCCTGTGGAACATATGGGAGTTTGTTGGTGGGAAAGGGAGGAAGATACATATATATCTTCCTCCTGTCTGTTAGATCTTTTAGCATCTGAGCTAAGACAGGTTCTACCCTAGAATCTTGCCTCTTCATGGTAGTCAGCCCCAATCTTACTGTGTTAGTTCTTTTCATTGTTCTTTTCATCCATTAATTTATTGCTTAACTTTTCCATTCTTTCATTCAAATGCAGGCTGAGGCTGAGGTAGCCTCCTTGAACCGAAGGATCCAACTGGTTGAAGAGGAGCTGGACCGTGCTCAGGAGCGCCTTGCTACTGCCCTGCAAAAGCTGGAGGAAGCAGAAAAAGCTGCTGATGAGAGTGAGAGGTGTGTGGGGGAGTCTGAGAGAATATGGATTTCAGGCGCACTTCATAGGCTGTCGATGTATCTCAGGGACGGAGCACTTGCCCTGCATGCACAAGGCCTTGACAAAACAAAAACAAAAACAGCAAAAAACAGACAAGTACATAATGACTCTGAACAGAATTCCCCTAGAGACTTGTGTTTTGTTTTTGTTTCTTTGTGTTCTTTGTGGTGCTAAGGATTTAAACCAGGGCCTCACACAGGCTCTACCACTGTTTTTTTTTTTGTTTTGTTTTGTTTTTTGTATTGGGGATCTAGCGCAGGGGTGCTTAATCACTGAATCACATGTTTAGTTCTTTTTATTTTGAGGTAGGGTCTTGCTAAATTGCTGAGGATCTCGCTAAATTGCTGAGGATGGCCTCAAACTTGCAATCCTCCTGCCTCCGCCCTGAGTTGCTGGGATTGCAAGTATGTGGTATCACTTCAAGTCAGACCTCTTTTTAAAAACGCTAACCTCTAGGGCTGGGGTTGTGGCTCAGCGGTACAGTGCTTGCCTAGCACGTGCAAGGCCCTGGGTTCGATCATCAGCACCACATAAAAATAAATAAATAAAATAAAGATATTGGGTCCAACTTCAACTAAAAAATAAATATTAAAAAAAGATAACCTATATTATAGATAATCTTCTTTCCTTCTGTTTTGCATATTCTTTCTGTTTTTTTGTACCAGAACTGGTACAAAAATTTCCACATACAAGTCAGTGCTGATGCATATGTATTTGTGCTTCCCTTGCATTCCCTTTTCCAGACATGACATATCATGACCATGGTGGTGTTTTTTCATGTTTTTGTGAATTTTTTTCTTTTTATACAGTAAGGGTTACCTAGACCTCTGACCCATTTGTAATGTTATTTRTTTATTTATTTCCCCCCCTATATACTGACCTAACACTCCTTAAAAGGGAGTCACCATGTGGCTTCCACTTTGTGGATCATACACTTCCATTTGTGAGATTAGTCCCCTTTAACATAGGCTCTCAAAGTCAAGTCTGAAACCATCAGCATGAACAACATCTAGGCACTTGGTAGAAATTAAAATTCTCAGTTCCTCCCTGAGTTACTAAATGAAAAACTCTAGAGGCAGAGCCTAGCAATCCACTAAAGCTTCTCATCCTGGATGTACTATTAGAATCGAGGGGGTGCATATAAGGGGATGCTTGGATCCCACCCCGTTTCAGTTGGTATTAATTGCTAGAGAGGTCCAGGCACTGCTGTTTTAAAATTGCCTCAGTAATTGTAATGTGTGACTAAGGTCAAGAGCCAAATCACAATAGAGGGTACATAACAACTTGCATGGTATTGAACTAAGGCTTTTCAGAATTAAAAGTGCCCTTTTAGGAAAATTAATACTGTGTAGCTGTGCAAAGGAACAAGCTATGTGGGTACCATTTCCATATGGTGGAAAGTGTGGAAAGGATAGTGTAGTATGTGATTCTTTTGGGGAAGTTGGGGTGGAGTTTTTTGCATGTATCTCTGTGAAACAGGGATTGAGGAAGGGCTTACCTCTGAGCAGGACTAGAAATGAGAAGGGAGACAGTTTTGACTTTATGCCCTTAGCCTATACACTTAAGTATTTAATTTCTTACCAAGTGTCTGTTATTTTTATAAGAAATGGGAAAGGAGAGAGAGAAAGAAAGAATGAAAGAAGGAAGCAAATTCAGGTGTGCAAGTAGTGCTATAGAATTTCTATTTGAATGACTGAGAGGAATTCGATTTAAAAGGTGCAATTTTGAGTCTATTCTGTGAGTCCCTTGGGATGGAGTGTCAGTGCTGGGTTCATCCTTTTTCTTGCAGAGGTATGAAGGTTATTGAAAACCGGGCCCTAAAAGATGAAGAAAAGATGGAACTCCAGGAAATCCAACTCAAAGAAGCTAAGCACATTGCAGAAGAAGCAGATAGGAAGTATGAAGAGGTAGGTCTGTCCTCCTTGATTCAGTGACATCAGGCTTCTGCAAAGAATCAGGAGGGAACTGGTTCCTTCTTTGCTTTCTTGAGCAGTACCTGAATCTGTTCTTATAGGTGGCTCGTAAGTTAGTGATTATTGAAGGAGACTTGGAACGCACAGAGGAACGAGCTGAGCTGGCAGAGTCGTGAGTATCTCACTCCCCAGATCTTGTTGTACTGTTCCATCCCTTCCCTTTTGGCTTGGACACTGATATGTATAAACGAGCATTCTTTCAACCTTGTTAAACAGGGCCTACAGGGTAGAAGTCTTCTATAAGTGCTTTTAGACTCTTGGGCTTCCTCACTGTCTTGACCACCTACCAGGTGACAAATGAGGCTTGCTGATTTCTTCTTGGGAAGATTTACAAATTGAGGGAATATAAAGACTAATAATGGTGAACAGTTAACTGGTGCTGTGGGTCCTTTATATAACTGTGGGTCCTTTCACCTGGGAGGTCTTTCTCCTTGAAGCGTTGAAGTGCCTATACCGACTTAAGAGCTGGTCTCTGTTTTGACCACTTTGCCAATCTGCTGGGCAACTTTCGGGCAGAGGCAGATATTACCTTCTCCCCATCAGTACCTTCCTGGCCTTGTATAACAAAGTCAGTGCTGATGCATATATATTTGTGCTTCCCTTGCATTCYCTTCTCCCAGACATGACATATCATGACCATGGTGGTGTTTTTTCATGTTTTTGTGAATTTTTTTTTTTTTTTCATTTTGCTGCTTGTTTTTTTGCTGTGTTCCTTTTTCACCTTTCTCCCTCCCCACAACCTGGCTTGTGCCATCCCCGTGACTATCACTAACAGCCGTTGCCGAGAGATGGATGAGCAGATCAGACTGATGGACCAGAACCTGAAGTGTCTGAATGCTGCTGAAGAAAAGGTACTAACCATTAAACCCACAGAGAGGTTCCTTGTATGGTGTGGTTTTGTTTTGTTTTGCAGCTTCCTCCCCTCCACYGGTTGACTTGTTGAGTGCTTTCTCATCTCTTCATGGAATGCTCCATACTTTCCACTTATTTGGCATCTTTCATCCTTTCTTTCCCAATTATTTCACTGCCTCTCAACAGGGTCTCTCCTTCCTTGGGGTGATTTGGGGGACTGTTGGGGTTGGGCATCCATTCCCACCTCTACCCCAGATAGTTGTGACTCGTTCCTGATAGTGGTTTCTATCAAGTGTTCTTTCTTTATTAGTATACAGACATTCTGAGCAGGAGGGTCCAGCTGCTCCTGATGTGTTCCATGGTAGAGGGAGGAGGGTTAATGCTTGCTCAGATTACCAAGGAACTTCTCTTTCCCCAGTATGCTTTCCAACTCTCTACATGATAGGTTCAATTCACGTCTGTGTGTCTCTCTCCCTTTTTTTTTATTCTTTTCCTCTTCCCCTTTCCTCTCCTGTGGTATTTAAAATGTTCACAGTAAGTGTTCTGAGCTGGAGGAGGAGCTGAAGAATGTCACCAACAACCTCAAGTCTCTTGAGGCTCAGGCGGAGAAGGTAGGGGCTGGTTTSTGAAGGTGACAGGCTTTGGGGCCTGGGCCCAGCCCTGCCCTTGATGAAAGACTGGAGATACCCATTTCTTATAATCCAGTGAGAAATGTCCTCTTCTTCCCCATGATGTCCATCCAGATCCTGGGTTTAATGCAATCTCCTGTGCACTTTGATTGCTTTAGTTAAAATAATGTCCTGGTCTTGGGCACCTAGAGTCTTGTGCTCTCAGGCTGGTGCTGCTTTGCTGAAAGGCATGATCAGGGGCCCTAATAGACTTTCTTGTAGGGCAACAGAATCAGTTCTAAGACTAATGAGCAATCAAGACAGATTTCTCTTTATTTTCATGGGGAAGTATTTTAGTCATGTTGACTTAGGGGTGTCTTTATTCCTGCTCATTCATCAGTAGGAAGGAAAAACTTTGCATTGATATGAGTAAGATCAAAGCTTAACTCTGGTTTAAAAATAAAGGTCCTGGTCTACTCTCAGGGTATCATGGCTATAAAGAAATAGATGGACTTTAAGAACTGGTTGTCTAAAATTGGGCCTTGCTCTTAACTCTTAGGTCATTCAGCATATTAAATACAAGAGGATATTCAATATAAGAATAAATATAGGGGCCTGGGGATGTGGCTCAGTGGTAGAGTTCTTACGTGGCATGCACAAGGCACTGTGTTAAATCCCCATTACTGCAGAAAAACAAAACAAAAAAAAAARAGAGAGAGAAAGAATATAATAGGAGTAAATGTCATGGGGGCGGGTATTGTCTGTATGACTAATTTCTACTCTGAAACTTTTATTCTACTTCTTTACAGTACTCTCAAAAAGAAGACAAATATGAGGAAGAAATAAAGATTCTCACTGATAAACTCAAGGAGGTGAGTTGAGGGATTAATGAAATATATAATAAATTACATAATAATATAATTATATAATATATAATAATTATATAATAATATATGCTAAATAATAAGTTATGTAAGAAATCAATGTAGACTTAGATTGGCTGGTTTAGATTCTGCAAATCCAGTCTGGAGGTAGGAAATGGAAGAAATAGATATCCTTTTCTTTGACTTGTCATCTCACATTCTGGTTGGTTTTTTGTTTTCCCTAGGCAGAGACCCGCGCTGAGTTTGCCGAGAGATCGGTAGCCAAACTGGAAAAGACAATTGATGATTTGGAAGGTATGGAGCCTGGGGGAGGGATTAAAATAAAGACATATAGAGGAGGATTTTGCCCATTGACCATGTACCTTTTTTCTTGTATACCAAGGGGAATTGGTAGTGACATGGCACATATGATGTGCCCCATCCTGTCCACAGTCAAGTGAAGTGCATCAAACCCTAGAATTGGATTTTTATACTTAATCTTTCCCTTTAATAAGACTACCTAACCAGGTGCTGTGGCACACACCTATAATCCCAGCAATTTGGGAGGCTGAGGCAGGAGGATTGCAAGTTCAAGGCCAGCCTGGGCACCTAAGTGAGACTCTGTCTTAAAATTAAATAAAAAGAAAGGACCAGGGATGTGGCTCAGTGGCAGTAGAGCACCTCTGGGTTCAGTCTGTAGTAATGAAACAAGAATGCCTAATATTTTGGACTTTGCCTCCTTCCCTTTGAGGAGATTGGTAATATCTGCATTTACTTCTCATTGAGTAATCCTAAATCCTTAGTCGGCAAGTTGAAATGGAAGTCATGATTTCAAAAGGCAGCAAGGATGCATATCACCCCCTGGCCACTTTCAGCAGTACCATTCACCAATCAAGTTGTAGGGTACCTCTCCAAGAGATGAAGCTGTAAAATAACCTTGTCTCAGAACTGACCAGGGGCTTTCTACATACTTCCTGTCCCTGCAATTTGACAACTGCATCCACCATGACAATGGAAAATGTCTTTTGCTTTGAGAACTCTGAGATGTGTTCCCTTGGTATGCTCTTTGTCCTAGGATGTTCTTTAAAATAGTTTGAAGAGGCAACTTGTAGAGCAAAGGGGGCCATGAATAGTGTTCACAGCTGGTAGGCAAAGAAATGTCACTGTGGATGTGTGCATTCTCCCTTTTCTGTTTATTGAATTCAGTATTATCACTGGTAGGAATTGGGCTAGTGGGTGGGAGTGGTATCCTCTTGAGTGCCTTTGGTAACAGGACTATGCCCAGGTTCTGAATTCTTGCTACAACTGAACAGAGGCATCAAGAAGTGCATTTGGTCCTAGAAAACAGTGGATCTAAGAATAGCCAGTCGTGGCTGCCAGCATAGACGTTTTCTGGTGTTAGACCCATGGTCGCACTTTTCCTAATTTCTAATGATTCCCTCTCTTCATCTGCTTCTGATATCTTTTACTCTGTCCCCTCATTCCTCCCTGTGGTTCCTGTGCCTGTCCAGATGAGCTCTATGCCCAGAAACTGAAGTACAAGGCCATTAGCGAGGAGCTGGACCACGCCCTCAATGACATGACTTCTATGTAACTATCTGACAGCAGAGTGGGGCTGGGATCTTGGCTCATGGGTGGGTGGGGGTACAGGCTTTGCATAGCGTGCTTTCGTTTTGTCCTTTGGAAACTAGACTCTCTACCTTTACTTTTGAAACATTGGTGCTGGTTACTTTGTTTGGCAAAAGCTGGGGAGGCATTTAGTCTTGGATCGGTGGTAAAACCCTGATATTTTTTATTCTTGGTCTATTTTATAGTGATTTTTCTTAATTGTTTTTCAAATGTTGTTCTCTCAGAAGGGGTTCTACTAAAGGTAGAATCTATACAACTGAGGAAATAGGGCCTAGAGAGCAAGCCTCTTGATGTGTGCCCTAATGCCAAAGTTCAGATAAACATCTGAGATGAGAAAGAGCATTCACCTAAGGATCTAGCTGAGTCCCAGAAGCAAGCCAAGCAGTAAACAGCACCAAAAAGAGTTGTTGGGGACTTCATCTGTTTGCTGTGGATCCCTGATCCTTGATGCTAATCTACCTCTTCCTATTAACCCTGAAAAGAAGCCAAATTCACAGGCTGTAGTGCCTGGCTCTGTTTTATCATTTCCTGCTGCTGCCTCTTTATTTCCTCTTCCTTTCTCCCAGATTGTTACCTAGATTGATGCCGGTCCTTCTCACCTAGAGTACCCTTACTTTTTATACAGATGACTACCATCGTTTCTGCTCTGTTCTGGATCTGCCCCTTCCTGGGGAACCCAGCGCCCACTCTCGCTCTGGATTCTATTGGTCAGCCTCGCTGGTCCCCAAGGCATCAGGGTGCAGGGGACACAAAGCAACTTATGTACTCTATTCTACCCCCACCCCAAATTAAAATGCTAAGCTGCTGAAAGCCTCATGCCACCCTGCATTTGTGTCATTGACAAAGCTGCTGCAAAACGTTGGGGGTGTGATGTGGAGAACAGTTATCATAGGCTCCCCCTCCGTTGACTCAGTAGAATCAAAGCCACTTTTGTATCTATTTTTTCCTGACATTTAAGCCTGCCTGAGTGGTGTCTGTCAGAGTGGGAGGCTAATAGAGGTTCCCTGGGTTAGGAATTCTAGTGTTCTTGAGCTAAATGAGATCATCTGAACCCTTCACTTCCARGCTCTTAAATCATCTGCTTAGACTGTTTCCATTCCCTCTTTAGGTTCTCCTCTTTTGACACAGTAAGGTTGAAAGACCATCACACATGCTTTATCCTTTTCTCAGTGGTTCAGAATGCATCCTCAGACACCCAGTGGACCTGTGTACATTACTACTAAAATTGACTAATTGTATCATCCCTACTCAGAAGAACACACAATGGATTGAATTCTCAACAGCTTTGCATTTTCTTTAAACCTTTCTTACATATTTGAGGCCTGCTAGCATGTGCTAGTGGGRTATAAGACAATGGTAAATTATTATTGGAAAGACTAACACAAACAATTATTCATATTTCAAATAATGTGCATGTGAGGGTAATGGTTTATTATATACATAAATTTCAAAATTGTTCCTGGTTCATATCATAGAAATTAAATATCAACATTTCAGTTAACAATTTACACAGCAGAGATAATTCAGTCTGAATAGTGTAGCTACCAGTTGTACTAATTAAGCATTTAAGTATTGTTCATGTAATTATGAAGTTTCTTAACAGAATAGATATTTGAAACTTGTTTTTATTTTAAGTAGATACGGCCAGGTGGAAAAGTTTTCTCTAGTTTTAAAACTTCAAGTTTCATGTCAAATTTAGTTTTCTGTCAATACCATTTCTTCTGCCACTAGATTGATTTATCCAGCAGACACATTGGTATTTTCTAGATATAGGGTTAGGGTGAGGACACAAAGATGGAGTCACCATCCCCAGTCTCAGGTTGTTTGAACTCTAGTAATAGAACGAGAAAACACGCATAAAGATGGAGCTCCTTTGTAATGAGTGCCGTACATAATAAAGTCTGCGGGTGTTCAGAGGTGGGAAGAGATTGATTCCAGTGGGGATGATTCGGTTAGTAAAGACTCATGATAGAAGGCACACAGTTGATACTGAATAAACATGTTCAAACTTACCTCTTAGGGGCTGAGGCTATAGCTCTGTGGTAGAGTGCTTGCCTAGTATGTGTGAGCACTGGGTTTGCTTCTCAGCACCTCATATAAATAGATAAGATAGATAGGTCACTATCCACTGACAACTAAAAAAAAATGCCTCTTCATTTTCACTGGGTTGCAAAAGATTGGATTTTTGCTGGGTGAGGTGGCACATGCCTATAATCCCAGCAGCTCAGGAGGCTGAGACAGGAGGATCATGAGTTCAAAGCCAGCCTCAAGCAGAAAGCAAGGCTCTAAGCACCTCAGTGAGACCTTGTCTCTAAGTAAAATATAGAATGGGCTGGGGATGTGGCTCAGTGGTTGAGTGCCTCTGAGTTCAATCCCTAATACCCGCCCCCCAAAAAAAGTGCCGCATAAAAATGATGACTTTCAATTCTCAGTCATTTGCATACCATTTTTATGACATTTGCCATATTTGCATGTTACCTACTTTATTCAAATCTACTCTTGTTTTTAAATTTGGTGCATTCTTACTCTACACAATTGTTTTGAACTTAAAAGGTTTAATGTGCTAATGTCTTTTCCTAATGCACATTAAAAAGGGAAGGAAAAAAACCCCATAGCTCCAGAGACTTGGGAGGCTGAGGCAGGAGGATTGCAAATTTGAGACCAGCCTTGGCAACTTCAACTTAGCAATACCCTTTCTCAAAATAAAAAAGGCTAAGGGCTGGGGTCGTGGCTCAAGCGGTAGCGCGCTCGCCTCGCATGCGTGCGGCCCGGGTTCGATCCTCAGCACCACATACCAACAAAGATGTTGTGTCCGCCGAGAACTAAATAAAATAAATATTAAAAATTCTAAAAAAAAAAAAAATTAAAAAAAAAAAAGGCTAAGAGCTGGAGATATAGCTCAGTTGGTAGAGTGCTTGCCTTGCATGCACAAGGCCCTGGGTTCAATCCCCAGCACCACAAAAAAATAATAATTAAAAAAATAAAAAGGTCTAAGGATAGAGCTCAGTGGTAGAACACCTCTAGTTCAATAACTAGTACCACGGGGTGGAGGTGGGGATGGGGATAAATGAATATGTATAAGTTTATAGATACATACTGTTTGAATACATACTATTACATACACAGTACTAGCAATAAATTTCCCATACTTAGGTGAATATTTGATTGGTTAAGTTATTGTGGTTTACCAGGAGAGTAATCGGGGTCTGAGCTAGAGTGGTGATGAGGTTATGGCACTGAAGATGGGTATTTGGAAGAGCCTGACCCCTAAACGTAAGAAGGAAAAGTCAAGGTGCCTTTTTTTGTGTGTGTGTTTGCTGGGGATTGAACCCAGGGCCTTGTGCATGTGAGGCAAGCAAGCATTCTACCAACTGAGCCATATTCCCAGCCTTAGGTGCCTGGTTTTAAAACTTGAAAATGGTGATGTTAGAGATGTAAGGAGGTCTCGCCATTCTGGTTTGGGGAGCCAGGGGGAAAAGGAGAGAAGAATATATCAAAACATTGGCAGGTATCCAGGTAAAAAGATGTTGAAGCTCAAAGGGGAGAGCTTGATGTGAGAGGTTTGGGGATCCAAAAGGGCATAGATAGTTTAGGGCATGGAAGCACATTACAAGCATAAAGGACAATTGCAATGCAAATAGAGTTAAAGAGGAAAATCATGTGTCGAAGAGAATGCCAAATGGAACTAGTTTTAGTTTTGGTCCTTGCCTTGAAGAAGTTTAGCGTGGGATTCAACTTAGCAATGCCCTTTCTCAAAATAAAAGGGGTTCTTAGTGTCAGCAGATAGGTTGAGAAATAAAGGTRATTGAAGAAAGGTCATTCATTGATACTCTAATAATTCAAGGGTACATTTGAGCATTTAGGTCCCAGGGGGAGAAACCATATTCAAGGGGCAGAAGAATACTGATGGAAAGAAGGTGTATAGGCAGTATGGATAGCTTATAGCAGTATTGCCCGTTTGGCAGTGATGGTTAGTATAGTGGTAGTCAGTAGCCGTATGTGGTTGATAAGCACTCAAAATGTGGCTAGGCTAGAATATGAGAGAGCTAAAATTCTCATTTATTTTTAGTTCATTTCAATTTAATTAGCCACATGTGTCTAGTGGTTACTCTATTGGACCAGTACAGTTCTAGACATTTAGTATTTTGAGCAGAAGTTGGCTTTGGTGCAGAAAAAAATATTTCTTAGAAAGGAAAGAAGAGAATAGAGATTGAGAGAAAAGGGAGGTATTTCAGCTTTGGTAGCTCCTACTTTATCCCATGGGCAGGACTATTGTGAGCAAAGATAGCCCTACAAGCTGGGGCAGTGGAATAAAACACAAAATACCATGTAGTGCCCAGTGTTAATGAAAATCCCTCTTTTAATGCTCTGTATCCTTTAAGGAGCCATCCTTTATTACTTGAGCCTGGACTAGCTGTGAGGTTAAGGCTAAGCATCGAACCAAAGCACTTGGCCCCTTAACTTCTTCCCCTCCAGGAACCACAGGCTATTCCTGTAGTTTCTTTTTTTTTTTAATTTTTTTTTTTTTTTTTTTTTAAGAGAGAGGAGACGAGAGAGAGAGTTTATTTATTTATTTTAGTTTTTTTCGGCGGACACAACATCTCTTGTTTGTACGTGGTGCTGAGGATTGAACCCGGGCCGCACGCATGCCAGGCGAGCGCGCTACCGCTTGAGTCACATCCCCAGCCCCTATTCCTGTAGTTTCGATGAGGAACAAAGTGTGGCTGAACCCAGGTATCTGAAGGGAAGGAACTGACCTGCTATGTTCCGCAGGCTTACCTTAGCCCACACCAGTTTCCTCCTTTCGTGGGATATTGTTCAAATATTCCCTGGCTCCAGAGGATGATTCTCTAATAGGGCATTGCTAAACTACCAGACCCAATGGGTTCTCTGCTTTGCCTTGTTTTGTGTTGCTTTACTGTTTCCTGGGACCCAAGAACCTTAATGAACTAGTATCCAATCCTGAATTTCCAGTTATTAGAGCAGAGTTCAAAGCTAAGTTCAAGGTGAGATGACAACTGACATTTGTCTTTCGGACCTTAGTTTTTAGGGAACTCTGCATTCTGGATTTATTTAGTAAAGCAATAAAATACTCACACCCCACCCCTGTGTCTCTTTATTTCTTCCCTAAATGGAACAAAACCCTCATTAACCAAGCTGTTTTGAGGGATAAGATCTTAATAATACCCTTCTTTCCTGAGACAGGAGTGGGAATCCCACAAACTAATGTGGACATAAATGAGATCTGTGTATAATATGACGTCACAGTATGAAAAATGAGAGTTCACAGGTTTATCAAGGATGCAATAGCAATTAGACTAGTGCAGCCCCAGGAGTCTTAGAGTCTATAGACTAGTACTGTGCTTCTCAATGGTAAGCTTTGTCATTTAGGGTAGGACAATTTTTTTTTTTTTAAAGAGAGAGAGCGAATTTTTTAATATTTATTTATTTATTTTTTAGTTTTCGGCAGACACAACATCTTTGTATGTGGTGCTGAGGATCGAACCCGGGCCACACGCATGCCAGGCGAGCGCGCTGCCGCTTGAGCCACATCCCCAGCCCCATAGGACAATTCTTGAACATAAAAATGACCCTGCATATTTCTGTCCCCTGGCTAGTAATTACCTTAGAGCCTTCCGGTCATTGAGATAGTAAAAACCTATCAGTATATATTTCCATATTCTCCGGGAGAGATGAGGGGCAATGAGAACCACTGGTTCTTAGCCAGGTGGCAGTCATCTGTAGTCCCCAGCTACTCAGGAAGGAGAGTCAGGAGAATCACTAGAATCCAGTAGTTTGAGGATAACCTGGGCAACATAAC